GAGGGAACTTATTATACAAGTGATTCCTATAGTGTACACCAATCTACCCTCCATCATATAATAATGAACCCTCACAGGTATTATGATAAACGCTTCTACTGAAAATGGAGAATAATCAACCCCTAGCCGTAGAATAAGATTTGTTTTGCATGAATCGTATAATAATCTACCCCTGATCGTTGTATAATAAACTGATTTTGGAAATACGTATATTAATCTACACCTATCCGTTTATTAATAAACACTTTGAATAAAATTATGAAATAAAAACCTTTAAAGCAGTTTCACATACCCTCTTAAAATTCATATACCCTTACGATAACAAATCCTTCGGCTTATATACCCTTCATAGGGTATATCACATGCACCTAAATCCTTCAAGAGTTTATAGAAAAAAAGTCAAGGGCAAGCGTTCATTATTCTGCCCATTTTTTTACAGTGTAGTCATGTCTTTCACTCTTATAAGCAAACTGTTCAAGACTATATATCTGATTATATCTCTTTTGGCATTTGACCTATGAGAATAATGAAGTTGATCTTAAGTCGGATGAATTACTGTGTATTTATGTCGTGAGCATGCATCTCATTGTGAGTCTCTCGAAAGAACTCTTTGCTTTTTCATCTAAATAATTAAATAGAATCATCACTGGAAAACAGTCATACTTGTGTACGTTTTGTTACAAATTAAGATAAACAGCAATACAGATATATATCACTATATGAGGAAAACAAGTCGAAGTCCCATATTTATTAAGAATATACATAATTTACAGAGCGAAATCTTTTATTCATATTTTATGTGATCGAATATCTATCCTATTCATTTTATGAGGTCTGTAACTAGTGAGTCACTTCTTTAGAATATTATGCTATGATTTGAACAACACATAAGCTCATTTTTGCATTGAATACAATACTAAAATGACAACAAATGAAGAGTCTAATTAAATGTAAAAATGAAAGAAAGATACTGGTAACAAGACTCATCGCAGAGTATAGAAAGCCTTCTTCGAATTGTGATGTTGATTCAATGTAATCCATATTTGTTGTTTGTTTACAAAAAGTATACTCCATGTTTCAATGATCATAATACATCTAAAACAACTTTTGAAATGTTATCAGTCACATTCCAAGCTTACAACATTCTCTTTCTGGTTTGTGAAAAATGAGAAAATGCCGAAGGACGAAATATCAAGAAACAACGTAGTAAAAAGAGTATGGGTGTTGTGTGAATTTGAATAGATCTAGAGTTTAGTCTGGGTATTAATATTAACCTACATCCATATCCATACCCTTTTACTTTTTAACAATAAAGTTCTGTTTTGACGTTTGCACTTTCTGCATGTCTGCCTGCGACATTTTCACTTGCAATCATTTTCATCTTGACATTTTTCTTCTCAACATTCCATTTTCGACATTTTTGTTTTCAATTATAATTCAAATTTATTATTAGTGAACCAGAATAAAAAATATTGACTATATAAAGAACAGAGAACAGGTAATATTGAAAGATTGTGTAATTCATCATCGATATGCTTTCACTTTCTATCATATTGTTTGCTTCTATATTCTGTAGAAGTCAAGCATTGACCAATGTTGGTGGGGTACTTCTTCAAGATACTGTATGGAGCAGCACTGGTAATGCTAATCCTTACTACCTCGTCAATGATGTTCAAGTGCCATATAATTCTACACTAACTATTCAAGCAGGTGTACAGATTATTTTTGGTTCTGGCAATCTTGAAATACTTATCAAAGGAGTTTTGAAAGTACAAGGAACTGCCAATAATCCAGTGTGTTTCTACAATGGTTCTGCCGCAGATACCAAATGGATGATAACATTTCAATCGACTAATCTTACGCAAAGTTTAATTAGCCATGCTGTTTTCACTGGACCCAAAAAAGGATTACAAACTAAAAAATCTGCTCCTGGATTGCAGCAAAATGCAGGTATTTTAGTGATCCAGAATACAGCGTTTGTTGGAGAAACTACAATTGAAACCAATGGTAGGCTCTCTGGTTTGTTATTTCTACTTTAGATGGTTACTAAAAAGCATGAGAGTTTGATAATCTGTATATATTCAAATCTTGAAAGTTGGAGTAGTGGCCGAATTTGATTTAACTGTTCACAAGTTCAAAACTCTTCTTTAGTATTGGATAGTGTTTTGAGTTTTCCTTGCTTTAAGAATGCCAAAAATACTTGACCACAATTTAGATTACGTCATTGATTCAATTATGTCTTATAGGTACTATTTAATATTTCAATCATCGCCATTGTTATTTTTATTCTTTCAGAAAAATGACGCGTGCAGCTATTGCTCGATCTTATGATATGAGGCTTTTTCCGAAATAAATGGCTTCTTTAATATTTGATTGATTACATGTTTTGAATGAATCATCATTACTTGCATTTCTCACATACTGTAAAGAGTAACTAACAATATAGATTTATAATTAAATCAAGTCAGTCTCAATCGATGATTGGTATTTTTCTAGAACAAAGTAATATTCATAAAATGTCGATGCATATAGGACTTTGAATAAGTAACTATTTCTCGAGAACAAAGTGACTCATAATCTTAGGTGGAATCAGTGAAGAATAGGTGAAATTCGTTCAAATTTACTGAATAGAAATAATTAGATCAGTGCGAAGCAAGCACGACGGAGCTAGCACGATGAAACAGAGATTCAACTATAAGTCTTCTCAGAAGTATTGCCGGCCCATAAAAACCAGACCATTCGGTGCAGAATTTAATTCTGGATCGGATGGTGATACTTTTCTGTTTTTTCTTGTCCTATTTAGAAGAAAACAAAAGTGTAGGTTCAATTTCTTCCTAAGTATTGTCGGGGAATAAAAGTATCACCATCCGATCCAGAATTAAATTCTGCATCGAATGGTCTGGTTTTTATGGGCCGGCAATACTTCTGAGAAGACTTATAGTTGAATCCTTGTTTCATCGTGCTAGCTCCGTCGTGCTAGCTTCACACTGATAATAATTAGACTATCCTTACGAAAACAAACTTTCGCAGAACATTCAAACAATATACTTTTGAGAAGATTAGAAGTAATACCGTATTTGATACTTCATTGCATGTGAATTCACAGTAAACGACTTCACTAATTTGTTCACGGAATTCATCTAAAATATGACTTGTGTTGATTTTTTTCTGGCTTATATCATTCGAATATCACGTCTATTTTTCATAATCTATCTATAGGTAATTATCCACTGCCACGTGTTTTACCTGCTCCTTCTCTAAAACTTACCTCAGTAGTAATAAATGATTCGATGGTGTCAACTGGTAATGATATGAGCGAGCCCATTCTTATAATTAACAGTAAACTTTTTAATGCAACTGCTCGACCAGCAGCAGCTCTTGGCGGCATTCAGTTCTTAAATTCCAAGCTGCAGACCTTGACTATTATAATGGGCAAAGACTATTATGGCCACTCAGGAATTCTTGAATTTAACGATTCAACAGTCGATAATGCAGTCAAATCATGTTTAAATGAATGGTGTAGTTCATCTCTTCATATTAGGGCATTCCGAAGTGTGATTCGTCATTCTTCATTTAAAGTTGCTGCATATTCATATGAGGATTACATTCAGAATTCTTTCATAATTGACAGCTCAACATTCAGAAATGTTTCGATAGATGCCTCAGGGCTGTATTACTACTATGATGGCGCAGCTATACCTTACTCTATATTTATGAACAACTCCATATTCCACACTGGTGATATTAGACTTGGTAGTTTTCCGAAATCTGCAATGTTTCAAAACTCGAAATTTCAAGAAACAAACATTGCAGCTGGTACTTCGGATCGGTATGGTCCTTGGCCTGGAATAAACATAACAAATGTCATCTTCCAAAATGGGAGCTTAATTTTGCCTGTATCTAACGTCGCCATTATGTATTCAACTATCGTACTTGGAGTACCACCATTGGTATTGGGTGATAATTCGATTATCTCATGCAGTTCTATCAAACGTTTTTCGTCTGTACTGCAAGCAAGTACAACAGGAATTCAGGCTACTACTATCACAATAACTCAATCATCCATTAGCTCTTTTGAAGTTGGTCTACAAGTAACACCGTTGAGTATGCAAACAAGTTCAATTTCAAGTTCTAATTTTATTTCCAACAGTCAATTCAATATCCAAAATGTTGGTGTGTATGATGTACAAGCAGCTGGCAATTGGTGGGGATCCTCGAACGATACAGCAATCCACAACAAAATTTATGACTATTGGGACAATATCAACTATGGTCAAGTACTCTACTCTAACTATTCAAACGTAAAGCTCCCAGCTGAAAATGACTGTCCATCTTACAGTCCAGTGTAGTCTTACCAAACTTCACATCCAGCTTCAACAAAATAATCAATAAATTGAAGCTCAACTGAACTTTTTTTAAACTCTTTTTCAAAACTAGCACGTAACTACCATAGTTCTATGCTTGAAGCATCCAATATTGTATTCATTTTTTTTCTCTTACTATCAATAAAATATTTGCTGAAACTTTGTTTTAGTCGAGTCAACTGATGTAAACCTACAGACACTACAGACATTTGTTTCAAGTGCTTATTTTATCAAATGATGGTGATCTACAATAATATTTATTCTTATTTAAGTGTGACTTTAGCAAACTTTATCAACAATTTGATTGACAGAACATCATTCAATCATTTTATTATTTGTATCATGTAAGATAAAGATATATACATGTATATGACAAGTAAAGTAGAGTATATTAGACTGTTTGTATTTTAGATACACAGGTGCAGAATCTACTCATGTGCGCCTAGCTTATGTGTAAGTTTAAATTTATTTTATACTTGTGTTCTTTGAATAAATTGATCAGAGTAATGAAATGATGAAAATTGTGATTCAGAATATTGTTAAGCTGAAACCAAAAATTTTTGTTTAAGATATTACTCATCAACACAAGTAACGCTCATCGACGTAGAACGTCGATTCACTGGTCCCTAGACTGACGGAATGATGATATTGAACTACCTGTATTTTGATAGCATATGAATTTTGTACAATGAGCAATCTAAGATAAAGTACTAAGATTTGCATTATGTTGAATATTATGTAGTATCAATATATTGAAACAAATGAACTCAAAAATTAAAAGATATTTTTGCATCGGAATGGGTTTATTTTTTAGTTGATTATAGTGAATGCATTTGTAGTAGCATATCTTTATCAAATGAACATTTTGTTGCATGTCCTGGAAAAGAATTGTTTTTTACTGAAAGTTAGAAAATGCTTACCGTACAACGATTTTATTTATTTGTTTTAATATCATTTTTTATTTCATTGGTAGACGGAAAGAAGTTTAGGAAGTAAAACATGAGCAAAAGAATTTGAGCAAAGCTATGTTTTTAATATTGTTCGAATCGTGTGCAGAAAATGTATATGTGGGTTGTCAATATCAACATTATGTAATAGTTGATATTAGTATCAAATTATGCATTGACACATTTGTTGCTTTCTTTCTTAAGCAAATAATTATCATTCAATTGGTTTTGAATGTCAATAATTAATAAGAATAGATTTAACTTAATTGACTTACTAATAATATAGTGTTGTCTTAGATTATGTTGTGAGAAATCAGTGGATGAAAATAGTACCTATCGTTTTGTAGTATTGAAAAAAAATTAGTATTGACTTTATTTCAAAGTGGTACATTATGCTATTGATTATACGTGATTAATGTCTTAGATTTAAAAAGGTGAATGATTTTGTATTTTAAAGTTTAAGGATTATTAATAAGGATTCTTTTTACAAACTGCCTTAAGTCATAGTGTAACATTGCATTCATTGACTTTGCATTTAACACAACGTTATGTTTTCTATTATGTATTGAGAAAGTAACGGCATCAATTTTAATGTTTTATTTCATTGTATATGGATAGTGAAAGATGATTGTTTTATGTGATTGATAGCCACCTATGTAGAATACATAAAAAGACAACTGATAGAAACTGATATATGTGTGTGCTTCATAGAATAGATATTAATGAGCAATAGTGAAAGTTACAATTGTTGGTTTTATATGCACATTAAAGAGACTAACGGATATTGTACATATAGTTTTGTGATAAACACAGTGCAAGTCATGTTACAGATGTTAATGAAAGAATCATAAATAGATGATTTACAAAAACGATTCAAATATATTATTAAAGAAAAAAATGATCATATTTAAATTAACAACGATTCATGAATTGAGTTTTGTAAAATCAATCTATCATTTGAGCAAAGTTTTATGTTACTATGAATATTACAAGTTATTATTATTTGATATTCATCTTTTGGTACCATTTTATTTAAATATAGACTAAAATCTTAGACTAATATAAGTGTCAACAAATTTTTGTTGTAATTGAAAATAATCATGATTACTTCCGAATTGTTCTTGTGTTGATGAATAATAATCAGGATGTTGCATGTGTCGTAATTGATATAACGTTAGAGATAAAAAAATTGTCGATTTGAAATTGATGAGGATATAATAGTTTGAAGTTTCTTTGATAGTATTTGCCAATACGAACTGCACTGCGACCAAGTGTTACTAGATCATTTGTAAGATTATAACAAATAAATGCGCCTGTATTTAATGCACGAATACACGCCCATGTAGATAATACCTTTTCACCATTAAAACAAATTTGAATTATATCTAAATCGAACGCCATTAGATATGTCTCACTAGATGTTACACATGGATGATAAATAAATTGTATTGCCAGTTTTTTGGGTATTTTTGATTCATTTATTATTTCTAATATACGAGAGCCCAAAGTTATTTCTAATTCATATACACGGCGATACGATTGAACTTGTTGTTTGACGAAATGAAAATTACGTAAGTTTCGATGAGTTTTTTCCTATGAAAAAATATAACAGTAATAATGATATTTATAAGTTTAGTGTTTGATACAAATATGTCGATGAAATTTCGGAAACCTTCTCCTATATAAAAAAGATCAAGATCAGAAGTAATACATGGCGCAGCATGCTGCAAGAGGCACATTAGAACTGAACCACCGGCTGAAATAAATTGGTTAAAATCAATGAATGATGAAATTTTGCCAAAGGAGAATCGATTTATAAGATTGTCTTTAAATTCTTGAAACGTTCGAACAATTTTTGATGGCGTTGGAAGATCATTGTCATAAATCTTATAAAAATTTAGTTCATGGAAAGATAATGAAGCCGGTCGAAATACAACTAATAAAAAATGTTGAATAAAAATAGTATTAAGTAATTGTTGTTTTATATTAAATATTATGAACAGTTACATGGTACTTCAAAAATATCTATAAGAGTATGTTTTGGTCGATATACAAAAGGTGAATATGAAAATAATCTTGTATATAATGCAAATAGATCCGTAGCATGGTAAGCCCAAACTTTATTTGAGGTGCGTAGATCAAATGATTGTGGCAAAATATAAGGCCACGAGATAGTTGAGTTTTTTTTACAATGATATGATTTTCTTCTTGAACATATTGTATACTATCTTTTATACAATCATTGAATAAATTTTTCAAATTAAGATGAGATAATGATCTTAATATGGTCGCAAAAATTTGTTCATTTATGCATAAATAATCTTTGAGGACATAGCTAACTTTCAATCGATCTTTGCAAATCAAATTGACATTGATAAGATCATGCATTACTGTTGATGGTAGTTTTGGATGATTCATTAATTGAATTGATAATGATTAAATTTTAAAAACAGGTGGAAATGAATAAAGAATTCTAACGATTTAGTAACTAAATAATATATTAGAAATAATATGTAACAATGCGCCAGTTATATTGAAGAACAACACATTCTTCATTAAATGATCAATTGTTAAATTCTTCGACATAAAAAGTCAATATGGTACACAGTTCGAATAATTCAATCGTTGAAACTGCAATGCTAGCATGTTCTGAATAAAATCTACGCGTTGACTAATAATATTATAATGAGTGCATAGTGGTGAAGTGTAAGCATAGTTAACGTGTGACAAATTCATACCTTGTAGAAAGGGTCTTGGATATAGAATATTAGTGAATGTATAGTAAATTATTAAATGAATTGGCTCTCATGAATAAATAAAAGTTTTCGAAACATTAAAATTTTGTCTTGATAAATTTTTCGTTTTAAAGAGTTGCAAAAAAAGAATTTCGCTCAGGAGTAATCATCATCTGATCAAGGAAAAAGTTAATAGACTAATGTTCACAAATAGCATGATGCGCATAAAACATAATGTTATATAATTCTAAATTGATGTATTCCTTATAGCTAATGAAATCGAGTAAAATGATGTTCATTATGAAGAAATTAGGAGCAAAGATGATTGTTTCGAATATATTCTGATCTGAAGTCAGATGGATGCATATAATAAGTTGATGGGGTAGCTTTTCAGGAATATATGCTATCTTTATTGTAATAGTGATATGTTCATACATAAGAAGTACAGGTGCAAGATATATATTTTCTACTTGTTCTGTAGTAATTATAGTGAAAACTATATGCCTCAGTGGTATTATGGATTTAGTTCTCGAGTTTACTTTAATAATAGGTTTACATGTATTTTGCTTTGTTAAGTATACATGAAGATTGTAGATACTAAGAAGATCGACAAGTTCTTAGAAGTAACTCCGCAAAATGTGAACAAAACTAATGTGTTCTATTTGATATTTTATTGGATTGATGACATTGTGTAAAGTAATAAGTATTTGAAACATGTAAGATGAATAATAATGATTGTACACTATACTGTTTGTAGATGAGATAGAACATGAATCACGATGC